CTTCGACCTGGGACTGTCGCTCCTCTGGATGCGGTAAACGACGTCATTTATTTTCGTGACAATCCTGTAGGGTCCTTCCCAGTGCGTTTGCAATTTGGGGCATAGTCCTTTCTTTCGTTGTGGGTTGAACAATAGTACCAGTTGCCCTTCTTGAAACCCATCGGTATTTGCCGCTCGATCGTACCTTGCCTTCATGCGGTTGCTAACCATTTTTATTCGATGTCGGACTGCATCGTGGACTTTACTAAAAGAGTTTTGACTGTCTTCATCTTGGTTCACATCGTCGTTTGGGGTAGCACCGAATATCAAATCGCCAGGTAGCTTTAATTCATTTCCGAACAGAACTTTGGCTGGGGTCCGGGATGTGGAATCATGAATGGCCGATCTATAAGCCAGTAAAAACTTTGGAATATGCTCATCCCAGTCTCGTTGGCCACTGTCCACCACTTTCCGTAGATGTTCTTCAAGGGTGCGATTGAATCTTTCCACCATGCCATCTGATTGTGGATGTAGGGGCGTCGTTCTGGTTTTCTTGATTCCGTAGGAGTCACACATTTCCTTGAAGATCGCTGATTCAAAATTCCTACCTTGATCGGAATGAACCTCAGATGGAACACCATAGCGACAAATCCAATTTTTGCTGAACACATCCACAATTGTCCTGGCTTCTTGATTTGGGATAGCATAAACCTCTGGCCATTTGCTGAAGTAATCCATGACCACTAAGACATACCGGTTCCCAGAGTCGCTTGTTGGGAACGGTCCAGCTGCATCCATTGCGATTCTTTCAAAAGGGGCTCCTGAATTATACTGCTGCATGTAGCCTCGACTCTTCCGTGTTGGACCTTTAGCCCTTATGCACCTTTCACAATTGGCGATCCAGTCGGCAATGGATTTTTGACAGCCGACCCAGTAGAATCTCTGCTTTACCTTTTCAGCGGTCTTTGCTATGCCAAGATGTCCTCCACTTGGCCCATCGTGAAACTCCGACAAGACATCCCTTATTTTGGAGTCTGGGACGACGATCAAGTTCCGGTGAGATTTACCGTCCTCACTTTCCCATTTGCGATATAGGCAACCATCTTTTATAAGTAGACTGTCCCACTGGGCCCAATAGGATTTTAAAAGAGGGCTTTCGGAGGTAATTTCTTTACGACTAGGTCGCTTGCCCGTTTCAATGGCCGAAATTACTTTGCCCAGAATGGGATCTCTTCGTTGTTCCGTCGACCAATCTTCACCCGACTCAAACTGCAATCGTCGGACATCAACGATATTCTCTTTCCACTCGGCCTTTGAGCAGTGCCTGTATTCTACCTTGCATGGCCGACGAGACAGGGCATCAGCATTACCGTGTTTTCCGCATTCCCTACTAACTTTGTTTCTTCTATTACCCGCCTCATGGCGTCCTTGATCAAGTTAACGAGATATTTGTGTTCGCAACATTCGGTCTCCAGTTGGCTAATCTTGTGGGTGTGGGGCCTAACAATCATTCTTGCCGTCTCTTGGGCAAGGGCAAACGACACGGTTTCGGCAAATGACGCTTTTGGTGACGCATATGTTGCACATTTAATCTCAGGGTCACGTATGCCATTCACAAAGGTTTCGATTTTAATACGGTCCACCAATGGGTGATTCTCTCCTGGATACCTCAGCTGCAAAGTCTTGTAACGTCTCGTTTGCCCTCTGTACTCTTCCCCTTAATTCCATAAGGTAGATGTTTTGTTTATGTTCGCCACCGTACTTACGTTCCAGTGCAGCAATAACATCTTCATAGTTGCTTCTAGAAGCGACAGGAATACTCTGTATAACATCCGCAGCACTGCCCTTCAATGCCAGAAGTAGTGCAACCGCTTTGTCGCTGTCGTTCCACGAATTTCTAGAAGCCACTGTCTCGAACTGTAACTTGAAAACATTGAATGACGTAGAGCCGTCGAATACAGGAGGTTTGATTTTTAGTGTGTTATCAGGAACTCGCACCGGACCACCTTTGATTTCCAGTTCCGAAATTTTCTTCTCCAGATTCGTAAACCTGTGGTCGTGGGCCAGAAATTTCTCGTCAACCGACTGCACTTTCTTATCCAAATCTTTAATTTGGACCTCCACGGTTTCCACTCTCCTTCCAATAACTTCTGTAATGTACTCGAGTTTCTCGTTCGTTATTCTCGAATTTTCTTCGAACATTCGTCTGGTGTTTTCTTCTAAGTTTCTGGAATTCTCTTCGAACATTCGTCTCGAGTTTTCTTCTAACTTTCTGGAATTCTCTTCGAACATTCGTCTCGTGTTTTCTTCTAACTTTCTCGAATTCTCTTCGCTCCTTCTGAAATTTTCCTCAAACATTTTGGCCAGCATTTCTCTGAAATCGTCACCCCTGGCAGCTACTGACGAGACTTCCCCACCGTTGGATTCGCCCATTTCCGATAAATCCACTTCATCCTTACTGTCAAACTCATATGTATCGATGTTCATACCACGGCGCTCGAACTCATCCAACAGACGTTTTTGTAGTTCAGCCTTGTTGCCAGTAGAGGACAATTCCAATTTATTGAGCTCCTTCTTTAAGTCTTCCACTCGTAGATCCTTAAACTTCATCGTAGTATTATCGTAATCCCACTTCTGACACCAATTGTTACGTTCTTGGATTTTACTAAATCCCGTGTAGACGTTGTTTTATTTCCCGATACAATTCGTACCAAATAAAACGCGGGTTCTTTCTGATTACGATTATTATAATGATTTTATTCACACAACTTTACTTTGCACTTTACTTTACACGACGGTTTCAATTCGCGATCTGATTCACAACTCACTCACTGCCTTTCCATTCCCTCTATTTATATGAGCCCTGCCTGTCGCTACAGAAGTTTCTAGACGATCTGGTAACACCTAGATCACGAACAATCTACCAATGCAACAAACACATTGAGTAACAATAACAACAACAAACTTACTGAGTGAACAATAACAACAACAAACTTGAGTAAACAAACTTACAATAACAACAACACATATACAGGCGAGGGAATAACAAAGAAAGAGGAATAACAACAACACATATACAGGCGAGGGAATAACAAAGAAAGAGGAATAACAACAACACATATACAGGCGAGGGAATAACAAAGAAAGAGGAATGACGTTTAACAAGAATTGTACGACAATAACAAAATAGAAAATGAAAGAGGAAATGGAAGGATGTAGAAAAATCTATACAGTGGTTGTTGTTGTGAAGTTATTCAAATAAACTGCGTAGTAGAAATTTACGTTACAATTCAAATTCTTAAATTAACGGAATTCATCTAAAGTAACTTAAATCTAAATTTATATTCGTAACAATATATTAATGTGTAAATTCAGGCCATATGAAGTTGAAGTTGCCTCCATCAACCTATATGTATATATGTATGTACTTGAGTATATATTGGTCTGTTCCCGCAAGCAAGAATCTACTCGATTTTACTATTTTCTTCGATATCATAAAAGAAAATTCGTTATCGTAGTAAAAAGTAGTAGATTCTTGCAGTACGGGAACAGACCATATGTATACATATATGTTCAAATTTAAAAAAAAAACTCAATTCAATGTTTTATTCTATTCTTTTCTATTAATTTTAATTTAAGCCTATTTTATATATAATTTATATATAAGTTTTTTTTCTTTTTGAATATTTTCTGTTAAATGTTGATCTCTATTCGCAATCAAATTTAGTGTGAATATTTCAGGATAGACCCATTGAGCTCGATAGGTTATAGATACGTCCTTTATAAAATAATTTAGTGCACAGTGGCACGAGAATTGGGATGAACATACAAATTTAGTTCAAATTTTGTATGAACTTTCCTCAATTGTAATCATTGTTTTAAATTCATTTGTATTATACGTTAGATTTAAGTAAATCTAAGACTCGTTTCTCTTTTGAATTAATGGAATAAAACTTAAAAGAATTTATGAAATGAAAAAAAAATGAAAGCAATTAAATATTATAATATGTTTTGATAAATTATCTAAGGGGGTAATGTAAAATAAGGGTGAAGTCAATATAGGTATTGGGGGTATCTCACCATAGTGGGAGCCCAAAAAGGGGATTCATGTCGGAATCCATAGGGTGGGCGATGAAGGTATCCATTAACATCTGGATACCAGAAAACAACTCTGTCTTTAAAATAACGCAACAACGATTTCCTTCTTTTTGAATTTTATTTTATATTAGTAACTCAATTTCTTGTTGTCTCTGTTATGCACACCGCTGAGAGTGCCGACTGAGAAGAGCCGGGCCAAACCTAAATAAATCGATACCACAGTCATCTAGGTATACTTAAACGATATCGACCTCTCGTTTTGAGAACGTGCAAGTATAACAGTGTGCTACAACAGATTACGAGATTGACTGTATTTTTCACCATATTAATTTTTGTTTTTAAGTCATTTTATATTTTAATAAATTTTGATTGGAATTTTTTAATTTTCGAAACTTTTTGTATATATTTTTTAATAAATAAATGCATTTTTGATATGTATGAATAAAATACATACATATATTTGAACATAAACACTGTAAAAAAACATGTCGTTCAAAAATGCCAATCCTGGGGGGCAGTTTTGAACACTGACTTCGTCTATTAAAACTGTAATAAAATATATTTATCAAGGTTAAAGTATGTATTATGTATATTCATTTTAAAGGTTACATATGTACCTACTGGTTTAAAATTATATAAGAAACCAAAAATTATGAAATAAAAAATTTTATGAGGCTTGAAAGAAAAAAGTGTTCAAAGGTGCCCCCCTCTCCACTATCAAATGAACGGAATTTGGACGAATTTTCATTCACTTTTGAATGATACTCTGCCAAGCAATAAGTCGATTTATCGATTAGTCGAAAGTCGACATATGTATCCCTATGTCGACTTACGTATTCCTAGTTACGAAGCGACACAACTTGATTACATAGGTCGAAAGGTTTTATTTTTTTAGTTTTATCGTGAAATAAGAAGAAATCTCAAAATGGTGCTGCGAACTGCAATTGTCCAATCGGCCAAACGTATTCCACTAATAAAATTCCGCAAAGGCGGTTATCCAGGTTTGACAGCTGCTGGAGCACAGGCGAGTTCATTCCCTAATACCTTGGAGTCAAAAAATGTAATCGTTTGTGACTAACCTTCATTGAGAATGTAGAAAATCCCAATTAACAATTGAAATTGCTGTCAGATGCCCAATCTCTCCTTAACCATATGTTAATAGTGAATATTTCTATTTTTATAGAATCCTGCTGTACTTGAAGACTGGGAGTTGCCACCACGTTACTGGCGCAAACCTATTAGTGTCGATGAAATGGAGTATATCAATCGGGGTGGTCCAGCTTAAATCGAAAGCCAAAATATTATTACAAAAATTCTAGAACAATGAATGTTATTTGTTTGGTAAATTAAATATATAGATGAATTATGTTACGCAACAAATATAAACAAATCACAATTCAATTCGTTAGAAACTATATCGACGCCTCCGAACCATAGTGTGCTATGCTAAGTCTGAAAAGTGACTTTTTCAGTAGAAGCTTTCAAAGTATGGAAGTTTGTCTTGATTTAGATTATATACAAAGCAATTCAGTTTCAAAAAAAAAAAAAATATTTGTTTCAAATAGTTTTTTTACATTTAAATAAATAAAGCAATTTTGTTCCATTTCTATTCCCTTGCCCCTCTCTCCTACAAAGACTTGTCGCAAGTAAACTCGCCTAATCTAAATTGGGACTTTCTTTAATCGTACGTGTCATGCTAAGTACATTTTTGCTTATAACTTTGGTTTGGATTGGCCGATGATTACCAAAATTTCAGTGAACTTAAATTAAGGACCGCAGTATCTAAAAACGTAAAGAACTGTAAAACATGCTAAGTCGACTTAGCATACTATGGTTCGGAGGCGTCGATATGTGAACTAATATATTAAGTGTATGCGTATGCTTTGATTCGGCCCAGGCTGTCCGTTGCGATGATTGCTTGTGTGCCGTTTTCTTAAGTCAGTATTCTTCGGTTCATCCAGTACGTACTATTGGACTTTTATTCATTCATACTTCATAACAGCAAATAGCTATATAATCCCTTTACAAAAAACTGGTAGTCGGAGCACTATTGAAAATTATAGAGGCATCTACAAATTGAGTGCGATTCCGAAGTTATTTGAACTTTTGGTTTCTCGGAGAATTTTCCACTTTGTCTCATCTATAGTATCTCCTTCCCAACATGGCTTTTTAAGAGGGAGGTCTACATTGACTAACCTAATGGAGCTTATGTGTCACGCTCACAATGGGTTTATCAATAAACTGCAAACTTATATAATTTATACAGATTTCAGTAAAGCGTTCGATACTGTTGTACACAGTTTATTAATTTATAGGCTTGATATTATGGGTTTCCCGACAATCCTTCTTAACTGGATTTCCTCTTATTTACAAGATCGTAATCAAAAAGTACATTTCAATTCACTTCTCTCAGATGACATCAGTGTTTCCTCTGGTGTTCCTCAGGGTAGCCACTTGGGTCCATTACTCTTTGTCCTTTACTTAAATGATCTTCCATCCGATTTTCTAATATTTTAATGTTTGCAGATGATGTAAAACTTTTTTGTAGTCTAAACACACTTAACTCCTCATTAAATTTGCAACATGACCTACACTCATTCGTAAACTGGTGTAGTTCTAATGGTATATCGCTAAACCTTAAGAAGTGCAAAAAATTAACTCATTCTAGGACTAGGCCCATATCTATTGATTACTTTATTGGTTCTCATAAACTTGACTCGTTTACAGATCTTGGTATCATTTTATATACCAAATTGCGTTTTCATTTACATATTGAGTCTGTTAATAAAGCTAAATCGTTGCTTGGTTTTATAAAGCGATGGTCTAAGGAATTTGATGATCCGTATATAACTAAACGTCTATTCATTAGCCTTGTTCGACCCACATTGGAATACGGCTGTGTTCTTTGGAGCCCATTTTATAAAAATTATTCTAATAAAATAGAGTGTACGTTCTCTCCACGTTATGGGGAGGTGGCTCCCTCGGTCGGCAGGGGCGGGTGTGAGTGGCGTGGGAACGTTCGAAAAAAAACAAAAGAATTTTAGTACAAATTAATACATTACAAGTAAAATAAATTAAATTACATTAGCAACGTTAAATAACTGTTAACGTTGCTTAATTAGTTTCAAAAAGGCAAGATTGTGAAACAATACACTTACTTCCTCTATCATCTCTCTTCAGTTACTCAGGATGAGTACAATGGACCAAATGTATCCTAACCTATATTTGGAAGCGATAATTGATAATTTTGAAATACATTTTGAACGTGGTCGTGGATCTTATAAGAATTTTCAAAAATTTTAAAATATTGTTTTTTTTTTTTTTTTTGAGAATAAAAAAAAATCACCCCTATTCCGTATGTCGTCGTCGTTGTCGACGACGTTTCTCTTTCGACATCACTTCGCATCGACATCGACATCACTTCGACACTGATTTGGTATTCTGTAACACTCATGCGACGATGTCGACTATTTATCGATAATATAAATAAAAACAAAAACACATCTCTAAAAATGTGGTCAGATGTTTATTTTGTTGCATATTTTTGGGCAAAAATGTGTTTGTATCCTTCACCGCACTGTGGCACAGGGCATTATGTCTTGGTAAATGTGTTTGCAACGACCAAAAAGAAACGAGATAGACCCATAGTTACTTTTTAGTATATATGTACATAGAATTATTTTTCAGTTGATTTATGCATGTCCCTCCATTCATGTATTATTTTACATGCCACCATTATGATCCGAACGGGATGAAATTTTGAAAAAAATCCATCCAATTGGGATGAAATTTTATTTCTACATAGACGAGTCCTATTGACATTGGTCCAAATCGGTTCAGATTTATATATAGATACCATATATTTTTCTTTATTTACACTTTATTTTGCATTAAGTATTGAATAGATTCTCGAATGATGTATCCTGTTCTTGTCCGGTCATGTTTTTTTTTAATTTCTAAAAAAAATGTTCAAACGCTTCAGTCGTCAACAAAAACTATGTCGAAGAAATCTTCGACATCGTCGTCGTCACACATTGTTACGGAATACCAAAAATGTTTCAATAGTTATCGATAATTGTCATAGAGAATACCAATTTGCAAAAGACGACTCTCTTCGACGTCGTTTCGTGTCGACGACGACATACAGAATAGGGGTGATTGTAAAATCTGCAACTAGATTAAATAGGAACAAACTTATAAAAACATTTTAATTTGTAGTCAAATTTTGAATCTACCCATTGGAAGATGAACAAATATATTTATCAATATTGGGTGAAATCGGTATGTATAACCTGTGTAATGATGCTCATGTTGAATGCATTTTCGGAAAATTGTAATCACACACGGCGGTAGTACAAAAAGGTATATAATTACAATCTTTTGATAATGTTTAATATTTTGAAGTTCCCAGTCAATGTTGATCGAAAAATTTAGATATTTATCGCATTGCATTATATAGACCGCACGTCCGGATTGAAAAATAATTATGTCTGTACATAGCATGTATTTTATACATATGGAATTATGAATAGAATTGTCCATCATAAAATACTTATAATCTTTAGACAGTATACATATACATGCATACAATTTTAAAGAATTAATTTTTCAAGGAATTTGAAATTGATAGATGAGTTCCAAATTAAAAAGGTTTGCCATTAATAATTTCTCAAATGTAATTATGCCATGAATTTCATGATACCCCAATTGTTTGAAAAATAAATTTCATAAAATTTGATGCATGTCGATTGGAATATTTTCTATAGATTTAAGGTATTTTAAGGTAGATATAAAATTTTTTTATTCACATTGTTCGTAAGTTATATCTACAGATGCTACAATTTATTTTTATAGGTGGCATGGACCATGGCCTATTAAGATCTATTAATCTATTTATAGGCCATGATGGCCATTATGAAAACGTAAACAAAGTCAAAATTTTTGACATTAGACTTGAGAAAAAACAGCTGTTTTCGATTTCGATTGCTATCTTGGTGACCGTACAGACGTACGGTATTTGGTCTCAGTAGAAGAACTGATGGAATTTTTCCCCATTACATTCTATGGGGAAAATTTACAGACAATGTGTGGTTTGATAAATTCATTTTTTTGCACAATTCTTTTTTTTTCAAAACAAAAGGGGTTTTGAAAACATTGCGAGGATTTAGGTAAGGAGGGCACGATAACTGTCGGTAGAATTTTTTTTTTTTTTTTTGAAAAATTAATACATTCTACAACAAAAATTTATGATCCGAGTTGGATGAAATTTGGCGCAATTTTGAAATTTTGTCCAAGAACGAACACTATTGAAATTGGAAAAAATAGGTTAACATTTTGATATAGCTCACATTTTTGTCCGATTTAATTAGATAGTGCAACAAAGTCCCTATCATTCGGTTTTCACAAAATTTTACATAACGTACTGAATTAAGACGACAATTTTGTGTGCTAAGTTTTGTGAAAATCGGCTCAGATTTAGATATAGCTCCCATATATATTTTCGTCCGATTTAATAGAAATGGTGCACGAAAATCCCTATATATATCTCGATTTGCACCAAATTTGGCACAGCGCTGTTCTTTCAAATTAATGTCAATGTTCTTTCGAAACGGCAACGTCTGTTAAGAGACATATGTAGAATGTACCCGAAGTGGTGAAGGGTATCATATAGTCGGCCCAGTCCGACTTTACTACTTTCCTTAGTGTTTTAAATAATATTTTTAACCAACTTTTAAAGCTTGGATCTTTGATCTTGACAAGTCTATGGAAAAATATTTTATAAAAAATCAATGACTTAATAGTTTTGGTAATTTCACGCCTAAATAGTCTACGGAAAATTTTCACAAAAACAATCACCCCATATATTAAAAATTAATTAAATACATGAAATATCCTAAAGAAAATTAACCTAACCTAAAGAATATTTTAAAATTCAAAATATTGAGTACAAAATTATTCGAACAAATGCCGAATCTTTAGCCGAATTTGTTTTCTATGATCGTATGTGTGGCAAGCGGATGCGATTTAAAACAAGTTTCGAAAATCATCAGATATTAGCCATTGGTCCAGAATAGAAGTTTACACTCATCCATCCATGGGCGTATAAATAATAAAAAAATAAAAGCACTTAATACCTTACACTTACAAGCACACATAATACGATAGCGACAGTTGTTCAATAATCGGGTGACAACCGGGAACAATTTTACACAAAAAAGTATGGATTTAATTTTAAACTGACATAGCTGTTCTTAAAACTTTTTTTGTAAAAATGCACATTTTTGTTATATAAT